TAAATTTCTAAGTGTTAGAAAGAGAAGAAAGTGTTCTTCATAAAATTTCAAGAAAGAGTTCTTAAAATTCCCAAATAAAATTAATAAATATTCCTATACAAGAAAACCGAGTCTTTTCTACTAGCGAAGGAAAGTCGTCGGAACCGGGCTTCATAGGGTGGATACGATTAGAGGGAAGACACTTGAATTCCTAAAGCGAGTAACCTCAAGCCGTTGAAGTTACAACCGGGAACCGATTCCCACAATCCACATCTTTGTTGAAGGAGTTCAAGACACTCGGTAAATATTTTTACTAGTATTTACTTTATAGTAACAAATCAAAATTTGTATATAATGCATGTTTTAAAGATGACGATCAGTTAATTCGCAATTAGTATCTACGGGTGTTGTATTTATACGATAAATACTTACTTTAAAAATTTTAAATTCCGCTGCGTACAGCCCGTACGGTATTAGCGAAACCAACAGTGGTATCAGAGACACGGTTATCATCTTTAAAACAGATTTTGATTTGTTAATGTTTATAAGATAAACATAATAATTAAATATTTATGAGATAAACATATTAATTATTAAAATAAAATTTGATTTTTCTCCACACGAGTCGTGTGAAGGTGTCACACGAGTCGTGTGGGGCCACACGACTCGTGTGTGGAGTCACGCGGGTCATGTGGTTCATCAAAATGTTTGATTTTTCTTTAAAGCAGGTCCACACGAGTCGTGTGGCTTATCAAAATGTTTGATATTGCTTTCAATAGTTTCACACGAGTCGTGTGATGTGATCACACGAGTCGTGTGAATTCACACGAGTCGTGTGAGTAGTCACACGAGTCGTGTGTCTTATCAAAATGTTTGATATTGTTCTCGGGTTTTTCACACGAGTCGTGTGATATTTTGACACGAGTCGTGTGGCATGACACGAGTCGTGTGACCAGTCGTGTGACCCGGTCGTGTGACTAAAACAATTTTTTTTTATGCTTTAATTTATGTGATGAATGTTTTTAGCATATTAAGGGATGATCATGAGCCTCATATTCATTATGTTTGAATGGATGTTTTCATTTTCAATGTGATTGAATGAATGAATGGATGATTAATTA